CGGTTCGTAAATTGCAAACAGATCGACGTACCATACTTCAATAACGAGAACGAGCAGAAACTTGGACACATATTCCGAAGAGTTTAAGATAAAACGGGCCAAGAGCATTCAGTTGTGTCATCGCAAGACCTCTCCTTGACGAGTATATTGCGCAGCAGTCCGTTCTGTTTTAATTTACGGCAGCGAAACATGGCCTTTAAGAGCAGAAGACACTCGTAAGCTACCAGTGTTTCACAACAGATGCCTTAGAAATATTGCTGGCGTCTGCTGGAATCACCGGGCAAGCAATAGTGAATTTAGACGCAGAGTATTAGGGAATGATGGTAAATCAGTTGATGAGGTTGTGAATCTTCATCGACTGAGATGGTTGGGTCACGTGTTACGTATGCCCGAACACCAATTACCAGGACGTGCAATGCTAACCGGTGTTGGAGATGGTTGGGAGAAGGTTAGGGGCGGCCAAACCAAAACCTGGCATCAGTGCTTGAAGTCACTAACTTCTAGTCTGAGCCATGTTGGTAGATGCAGACTACTTAGTTGGGGTCCGCGTGACTATCGTAACCAATGGTTGGAGACTCTTGGCGACATGGCTCAGAATCGATCACAATGGCGTCGGTGTATACACTCTCTGTCTTCCCTTAAACTAAGAGATTAAAATTGCTTCATATCTTTCTTTCTATGAACTAATTCTTTCTTCCTGTACTATATCCTTATTGCAATCTTTCTTTTATATATTACCACCTCTGAATTAACCACTTATATGAATCCGGTGGCCATCTTGTTGTGTTAATGAGGTATGGCAACTTGGACCGATGCATATATGTGCCTGGTCCTACGTTGTAGCTGACTGACCGACTGACCTTGACAAAGGCAGTCAGTTTGAGCAATAACACCCAAAAACCGTCACTCAGCGTGGTTGCCCCTAAAGTACAAAACAAAAATGAGACAGACATCAGTAAGCTATAGAACGGCAAGGACAAGATCAAAATCCAAAATTAGAGACGAAATTAGTGGTCCTGAAGTAATGAGGACTATAATATGTGTGAGAACAAATAAGATAGACTTTACGAAGGATGAGAAGATTTGTTTTGATAGTTCATTCATACTGGTTTCTAGTAATCAAAAACTACTTTAAGAAACGAACTTCTTACAACAGGATTATTAGAGTACAATTGAGTTGTACAGTAATTATATTTGTAGTCTTATAATGTATCCTGAGACACCTCTTTCAGATTTTAGTAAGTGATCTCATAGATAATAGTAAATAACTGGGTCCCATTTATGAATGCGATGTCAGAGTCTGAGGACCTTTGTAAACGAGAACGACTCACTTGAGTTTAAAACAGGCACTTCGTCAATGGAAAAATGGGTAGAAGCCAACACTTTTATTTGCCACCTGTCTCAATTTTATGCAGTTAGTACCCATTATCACAAGTAAATCACACCCTTTCTAAGTGACGTAAAAAGTAAAAGTAAAAATAACACTTTCGACTCATCGTCAATCTTGTCACGCATTGAATACCTCCCTAGTCAATGTGACTACAGCTCTTCAGTCTTCAGTAGACAGTTTTCAGAGTGTGAAACCCTGAAGGCATCCATAGTTTACTTTATTTTCATGAAATATCTGTAGCGGTGTTCGTTAGTTTTAATTGACACATCTAGCTGAGGGCGCTCGGTCACGCATCCACACCAGATCATGAGTGGCCAGCTCGGATTAAACGCTTTCCGATATATCGATAGCGTTTGGAATATATCTGTAGTGGTGTTGGGCCCTAAACACACAATCCTAAAAGTTGAACACGAGATAACTGGGAAAACAGACTTTAAACGTGTAACACCACATGAAGGTTAGTAATGGTGTACGCGGTAACATTTATTTGATTTAATTCAGATTCATCGGATGGCCTGGTTCGGCTCTGCAGGCGTGGTCATACTTATGTAAAATTACTCTTATTCATATTAAATATATTGTTCTATCTCCAGCCTGAATATATTCTCCGTCATATAATGGTAATTGTTACGATACGCTGAATCAGTGTTGACAATGACGTGACTTCCACATAAGATCTTGTAGATAAGGCAGGCACATCAATAACAAAACTACAATTTGAAGATTAAGTCTGTTATTAGAGTAGCACTAATGACAAAGTAGTTCATAATTCTACATATCTTCGAAACTCTTCGTTTTCTGGTTCTTAATTCGACTGGGTAGCCGTGCTTCGATTATAAGGGTGTTACGTGTAAAGACATTTTTAAACTTCGAATACTTGTGGCATTTTTATTTTAATAAACTACAATAAATGGAAGAAAACTGTTTTGGACCCATCAGTCTTCCTTACTTTAATCATCACTCATTACAACTAACTACTATACCTATCCTACCTCAACTCTTATCACCTCCATCTAACGACCTATCTATGACAATTAGAGGTGTTCAAATTATTGCATTAACTAGGAATTCATGAAACAGGTGCAATTTAAGACAGGTAGAACTTGGTGAGCACAAACGAACGTACTGTATTAAGAACTTGAAATCAACCAAGAATCAAGTACAAAGAAATCATTAGTTCAAACAAATATCGAATTATCCCATACATTTATCTGTTCTTTCGCCTGTCCAATCAACCAGTAATTTAAGTATTGCACAACCATGGACCCTGTCCACCCACTCTATCCAATTCTAAAATAATTCACTTGCTATGACGGCTGCTGTTCAGGCAACGACAGTGCCCTTGACCAAAGACATTCGTCATACCAAGGATTTGTAAATCTTAACCTAACTATCAAGTTTATTGGGACTAGTGAAGCTGAATGGGCGGACTATTCGGCGATCTAAAATGGGGATTTACCAAAACATAATAATACACAGTCTTATAGTTATACGCAAACGTAATAGATGAGAGGGTTGTTCATAGAACATATATGTGTAGTGGCATTGGGATTTAACACAAGGCAAGTGGGGAAATAGATATTCAACATTTAACGAGGAGAAAAGCCAACGATGGAGAAGGCGGGATGAATGAATAGATTTAGTTCGAATTGATCGAATGTCACGGCTCAGCCTCGCAGGCGTGGTCTCTATGTGCAGCATACTTTTACTCGTATTAAATATATTGCTTTATTTTCAACCTGAATGTGTTCTCCATCATATATTAATAATTGTCACGTTACGATGAGCCAGTGTGAACAGTGATGTGACTTACACGTAAGATCTTACAGATTAGGCAGTTATATCATAAAAAATTTGTAATTTTACGATTAGGTCTATTACTAAAGCAGTACTAATATCATACTAGACCGTATTCCACATATGGACATAGTAAAAGAAAAGTTAATATGGATCATACAAAAAGAATGTTACTTGAAGATCTTCTTCAGGAAAGATTATAGAGCCTGTTCGCCTAATTGATCGACAGCGTGAAGGAGGATTTAAACTGCTCTGTGTTAAAAGCGGGGAGACATAAAAGTTTGGGGGAGCAGATAGTGGTTGAAAATTTGCACAACATTATTGTATCCTATGCACTTACAATTCCGCCTTTTTTGCAAGACGACTGAAAAGACAAAAACTGACGAGAAACTTACGATGAATCGAAAATTTCATTGTACTTTTCCATTGTTTTTATGTATCACATGGCCCCTCATATTAGGGAAGGACGACTAGATGCTCCTGAACATAACAAGCTATCAGAAGATCGTTTACCAACAACTAACTCGTTGGGCCTAAACTTCTGGCTGGCGGAACAGTTTGACGTTTGGTTTATCAAAAAAGTACTTGGAATGGCCTTTAACTGATTTTAATTAGCTTTTGTCCAACCAGTTACAAGAAGGAATTGGTTTGAACTAATAACAGGAGGCTTGAAACTGCACTATTCAGAACTCACCTGGCAGCCAAACTATTAATTCTGCATCGAAAAAATGTGCACTAACCCAATCAAATGATGACAAGCACCTCTCTCATACTACCACCAACCGTATTTATAAATTTACTTGTACATACCAAAGCAGCTACACTTGCCAAACAGAAAAGAGGTCATATCCTGGATTTTTAGAGCATGTTCCAAAGAGCCTTAGAACGAGAGAAGGAAGGACTCTAAACAGTGTAATTACCAAACATCTCCTTGGCAAAAGACATCAGTCGATACCTTGCAATTTTCCATTATGATTAGTACTCAGTCAAACTACGGTCCCCTGAAGTTTAGTGATGCCGATGCTATCAGGCGTCGAAAACCTGACTTATGTGTTCAAAAGGATGTGGTTATTAATCTTTCCTTGCTTTGGTGACAAATATTTCTTCGTTGCATCTTAAACCTTTCTAACTCTTTCTTACATTTATTGCGTCATTGAGCTTTATTTCAACTACCTTCCAGATTAATTCATGCTATTCCGCTACAATCTTTGTTCGTACTCTCTTCAAAAAGATAAAGGTAACTATGTGTATCGAATCTACCAAATAACAGTATTTTACATGAGGAACTTTAGTAAAAGAGGATTGGACAACAATCCTAGATAACTGTCTGTCTGTCAGTGTGATATTAATGAACTTCAACAAAGTATTTGCCAAGGTTTCTCATTTGGGTCTGATGCAGAAGCTCTCGCGTTCCGAAACAACAGATACTGTACAGCAATGGATGGAAAACCTAAATTCCTTGTGAATGGAGACTATAGTTAATTGCTGTAACACGTTGAAAGAAGAGAGTGGACGGCGTAAGTAAAAGCACACTTAGCAGATCAGTATAGACCAGAAGCATACAGTTATGTGCCAAGTTAGATGCCTGAAAATTGGAGCATATATGCGAAGGTATAACCAAGTATACAATACCACAAAAACTAAAGAAAATATAGTATTTTAAGATCATAAAGTTCTTTGATTTTGTTGTCATTTCTGATATGCGTTCGGGCTGAATTCAAGGAGCCTAAAAGTATCCTGAAACTAAGGAGTAAAAGCAAATAAATTGAATTTTTTAAAGCGATCGCCCCACAAGGAAATTGGACATTGAATAGTCGTGCCTTATTGGAAGTTAGTGCTACCCAGTCCGTACGATAGGGATGGAAAAGATTGCAATTCTAGATGCAGGTGCGCAATACGGAAAGGTATAGGATATTAAGTGTAGTTTATTCTTTTCAAATCTTGCTAGGTTATCGACCGACGCGTCCGGGAGCTCTCTGTTTTTTCTGAGATGTTGCCCATCAACACTCCTCTCGAAACGCTTATGAAAGCAGATTACAAGTAGTGTCTTACCATATTCCTTCTATTGCTTCGTAGGGCTTTCATAATCTCAGGCAGCCCTGACTCAGTCTACCAGTCTATGAGTTGCACATGTGATCCCAAACTTTTTGACGCAAACATTCCTATTCTGGGGATTTGTTATGGAATGCAAGTATGTTGGCGAATGTTTTGTTCCTATAGAGTCTAGCTTATCAACAAGGTCTTTGGTGGCCAAGTGATGGAGGGCGACACTCGGCAAGATGGCATATTTCAAATTGACTGTGACACAACTTCTCCATTATTTGAGTAAGTCAATCCCCAATAATGTGTAATAAATTTATAGAGGATTGTCAAAACAGGAGCATGTATTGTTCACCCATGGAGATCACTGCATCACTGCTGCAACAGGATTTAAAGTCATAGCCAAGTCTAGTTCCAACATAGCTGGTTAGTTTGTTTCATCTGTATTTATTTACCATTCAGCTATCGCAAATGATGACAAACGACTTTACGGAGTTCAGTTTCATCCTGAGGTGGATCTCAGTACATGCGGCTTAAGAATCTTAAGAAATTTTTTGTTCAATATATGTAACCTGAAGGGAGATTTTAAAATGAGTGATAGAGTAGAATTGTGCATTTCCAAAATACGTGAAGCTGTCGGTCAAAATAAAATTTTGGTAAGTTATTCCAAAAATCAGGTCCTCAAGATGCCTGATTTATTTGTGGCAACATCTGAACATATCAGTTCCCAATGTGATCGTTTTCGCACATACTCCTATAATCACTTCTTTGTTGGCCCATATCGTTTGTGTAATCTGCACATCGTGTTTTATGAGTAAATGCCTTCATTGGGTTGTTACTCCAAACTAATTTGCTACATCGGTTATATTATGTAAGCTGAAAATTTTACTCGTTTAAGGAATGTCGCTTAGTTTTCTTACAAAATAGGAATTAGTAATTCTGTTGTTTCATGCGAGTGTGTCGCTCGTTGATTATTGTCGGATTAAGGTATGGTTCATAACTACACTGTCCTTGTTTCATACAGTCATTGATTGTTAGCCTGGCACGTGTTGGCAGATGTAGACGCCATTGTTAAGCTCTGCACGGTAATAATATTCAGTATTTGAAGACCATTGTTAATGTCGGTCAAAATGGATCACAGTGCAGGTCTGTGCATTTTTAACTCCCAAACTTTTTCAATACGATTTCACACTTTTTATTTCTATATTTCGTCTATCCTTTTTGAGTTTTATTCTCTGTTTAGTTTTAATGAGTCCAGTATTATTGAATACTACTACATATCTTGCGACACTAAGTTACCCGGATGCGTCGAGTTTTCTGACATTGTATGGATTATGTTCAGAAAACAGTTGTCTCAGTTCCTCTCACTTTAATAGGGTGAAATTCGTCGCAACACTTTATATATTTATTTAAAATTTTGGTGCAAGGCGTCAAATACATATGAGCCACACTTCATCATTCGATTTGTGTGAGGGCTTGGATACTGGCCGGGCGCCCAAACCGAAGTAGTTCGTTTTCTTAGGGGCCACTCCCTAAGCCTTTGATCTAGATGTCCAATCCACGGTGCAGTAAAGCGATGCCAGATGCAGCCCCATGGTAGCCGGTGACCAGCAATAGGTTCATACGCCATTTTCCCCTCAGAATCCTGAAACCCATGTACACCGTTGGTTCCAACTCTTAAGTAAATCCTCCATATCCAACAACCCTGTTAAAACACCGGACATTCGCTTTTCGCGGCTGTATACGTGTGGCGGTGTCAGAGCATTTAGAGAAAGAGCGGACTCTCCCCACCCCCGACCATACCAGGGCATTTGGGGGCCTAATTGTCATATAGGAAAAGTTTACATGACCTCTTGTCACACTAAAAGTGGTTCGTATATTCAAGGTAGGAGTTCAGTAATGTTTTCATTATTGTGTACAAACTAGGTAGAAGCGTTGTTTAAGCATACTTTCAACTAACTAGCTGTTGTACTTCAATGTTTTTTCAACCTTACCTAGATAATCCTGATATTTGTTTTAGATTTTACTGAGTGGTGGTGTCGACTCCACTGTATGTGCAGCCTTGCTATCAAAAACTTTGGATCCATCTCAAATTATTGCTGTTCACATTGACAATGGTTTCCTAAGAAAAAACGAATCTTTAAGAGTAATAGAATCATTAAAGTCATTGGGAATTAAAGGTAATTACATTCTTTTGCATCATCTTACTTTACCCAGTTCATCTGATCAATGCAGGTCTTCGATTCCTATCAGGGACTACAATGCTACACGTCGATGTAATGACGGAGGCTTTGGCACCTGCTTCCGTCAGTCCTGCTAAAGCACAGTCTGATTCTGGTAATTGAAATAAATATGATTTCTGATTATTAAATTGTATTTTTAGGAATAAGCTCAGGAACATCAGACGAGACATCAGATCCAAATACTAAAGAGTGCAGATCGACGTTAGATTCAATGGCATACTCTCAAACTACGGATACATCTAACACTAAAAGACAGTCACATGTCAGTGGTGGTGGAATTCACCCACATGTAGAATCAAGAAACATTCCTATTGGACCTCTTAGAACAGTTACTATTTTCCCTGAAGATAAACGACAAATTATTGGTGATACTTTTGTGCGTGTTGCCCAAGAAGTATGGACTGAACTTCAGTTAGATCCTAGTAGTTTAATGCTCTGCCAAGGTATACAGCTATTTTTTCATTTTTTGTTGTCCGTAAAATGTTTTAATGATGTCTATGAAAACGATTGTGATTCTATGACAGCTGTTGTTACTGTTGATTGTTATGCATGTTTGATGGTACCTTACCCATCATTTTTTTTCTACCGTAGGTAATATATACTTGACTTCTCTAAACAGTAGTAATGTGGTATGCGCATGGACTAACTCATGTCTCTGTACCTAATCTAGTTTGATCATACAGATGAAATGTATGGATAAAATTTCTCGGAAAATCAGGAAATTTCGCGGGCGACATTAATTTTCATGACATTGGATGAACTTAGCTTACATAAATCAGAGTTTGGATAATGAAGTAAAATACGTCTGTCTTATCTCCTCAATAGCCTTCAATTGGTAGTTGAATAATACCATAAAGTAACAAAATGTGGCTGTAGCAAAGAGCTTTGTTGAAATCAAGTCATGTTCAAAAGGATGATAGTTTTTTCAGTATGGGCACCCGGGCAGTATCACAGCCCACACACAATTCAATTGACTTGTGTGGCGCGTATGTATTTGGTGCCCCCTTGTACCAATATTTATGTGTTCAAATGAATAAATATTAAAATGTTTTTTAAAACAACAGTTAACTCACACATTTCAAGATAACCGCCGTTCGATGAATGTTAGGTTGGTGTTACGTACGAGATAAATGCTTGTAAACAGAATACACTTATTAAGACATTAAATAAGAATGATTAGTTCAGCGAAGAGTTCTCTTTTCGGTGAATTCCATAAATGCTTGTGACAAAAATCCAAAGCTAAACAACTATCTAAACGTTCGTCTGCTTCACGCCTCATTTCTAAACCAGTTGTCACTAACAAGCTGTCCTTGAACATTATATTGCATTTGACAGATCAGAACAGACAACTAATTTTTATTCGTGATTTGTATTACGTCGGTGTTTTCGCTTATTATTATTTGCTTACTGTTAATAGACTAGATCTCTGGTTGATATCTTTTTCAGCAAATTAGAGATAAATACATATCTCGATTATCGTCTCTATTAAAATGTTAGATAGTGATGATGAGTATTTTTCGATTTACTTCACTCATCATCGCTTCAGATAATAGTTTTCCACGTGGTCTAAAAGATTCAAGCAGCAATATATATATATATATATATATATATATATATTCATTTATACAAATTTGCAACAATTGGACTATTACATAATATTATTTGCTGTCAATTTAATTTTTCTCTACTTGGTGTTTGTTTGTATTGCTTTTTAGTCAAATGGTTCCAACAAATAGTGTATTTTTATTATTTTACTAGGAACATTGAGGCCTGATCTAATCGAATCTGCATCTCATTTAGCTAGTCAACGAGCAGATACAATTAAGACTCATCATAATACAACCACACTGGTCCAGATTTTACAGAAGCAGGTTGGTAAACGCGAAAATTTCAATTATTATGACAAAAAGCTTTCTGTTGTCCACAAATGTGTTTATGATTTAAATTTATTATTAGTTTAGGGATGGAGGATATATATATATATATATATATTTATATTTCAAGATGAAATAGAAAATAAATTCTGTGTGGACGTCTCAGAATTACGCGAAATTTTTAGTAACCATATTTTGTGAAAATGATGGTTAAAAGCTTCATTTAACTTTCTGATCATCTGATGAGACTTCAAGGGGAAGAAATGTATATATTCATGGGTTTGATGTTGGTATTTTGATGACATATGCATTCATTCTAACTTGTATGGCGGAATTCACGCTTCAGGAAACTAGCTTTTCCCTCTTATGATTTAAATATATCATTAATTATATGAGTAGGGATCTTGGGTCATTTTAGTTATGGAAAAAGGATCTGCAGATTAATAATATGATTTGTAAGATGCATATGTGAATTTTTGGAAAGTTTAAATCTAATCTGTACTTGCAAACTATTTCATTGTGTGTGTGAAGTGAAACAATTCAAAGTGGTTTCTTGTATATTGATGTTCCTGTAAGACAACCGTTTTGATTAACTTAAACGAAACTGCGAGATGTATAGCAGTTGTTTTGTCCGACACCTACTGCTGATAGCCTCGTCAGAACATATGAGATGTTGTTATACTATAGTCAAAGGCTAAAGCATTAGTAGTAACAGTGATATACAAAAATAGGTCTTAACGTTTTGATGAAAATTTCGACTACGATACAAGTCTCAGTTTACAAATATGTGGTATAAAGATTACTGGGCAGTCTGATTTTAGTTACAAAATTCTTGACATGAATTACTGTAATTAGCTGCAGTCCTATAATTCTTGACAGTTCGAGTACATTTAAAAATACTAACCTCTGAATTGTGTAGAATAAACTATCGATATACTGTATTATTTATTAATTAATTTGAACACATAAATATTGGTACAAGGGGGCACCAAATGTATATGCGCCACATAAAACGATGAGAATAGGGAGAGAAAAAAGAAAATAAGGTGCGCGTAAAACAAAGAAAAGAAAAGATTACTGTGAGGCAGTGCAGTGATAATAATAATAACGGAAAGGTACAACCAGAAGAATCCTTTCAGTTAAGGAAGATCCAACCACTTTTTATGAAAAAAGTAAAAGGTTACAGCAGGATCGCCACTCGCTTCTATTCTGAGCCATATCGGACAACGCCTCTGGCTACTGTGTTGCACCATCTCTCGGACCCCAGCCAGGGAGTCGTGAAGGACCAACACAAGCCAGCCCTTTTCAGCTTTCTTTCATACCACGACACCATGTCATGCACTGACCACTTCTCCGCTTTTTTCAACCAATCCCAGAGTCGGCAAATAATGCACGACGTGGAATTCTCTGGGACGACATTCGTAGAACATTTCCAAGCCACCGAAGTCGGTGTTTCTAGATGGTGACACCAATTGCATTATCATCTCTGTGCCCGAACACACGATACCGAACCTCTGCATTACTAACATGGTGTTGCCACTGGATGTCAGCAATCCTTCGGAGACAACGATGATCAAATACAGAGTCGTCTAACATCCTCAACTCGGAGAGGCCAGGTTTTACAAGCATGGAGCAGGACTACTCTCACTGATGCGTTGTAGATCCGACCTTTTACAGCCAGACGGACATCACGAAGGCGCCAAAGATGGTCCAGATTGACATAAGCCGCTCTGGCTTTCACTATACGTGCATTGATCTCATCACTCACGCCACTGCCAGCCTTATGTAGCTACGAACTTCTCCACTACTTCTATCCTCTCACCATCTAGGGTGAGTACAGGATTAGAATCCTACTAGTGTTGTGGAAGTACTTTGCACTTCGAGGGTGCAAAGCACATACCATACCTACGGACACTGATTGCCAACTGATTAAGTGCGGATTGAATGACTTGGGCATTATCGCACAGTAAGACAATATCATCCGCATACTCAAAGTCGAGAAGTTTTTCTTCAGGCAACAGATCCACACCGCCGTTACTTACATCCATCAGAGCTGTTTCCAGAATGTCATCGATGGCAACCCTGTCTAACCCCACTGCTCGAATGGAACGCTGGAGAAAGGTGGTTGTATGCCCTCACTCTGCCTGAGGTGTTCGTATATAGAGCCTTTACGGTGTTAATACAATTCTCAGGCACACCCTTCTTCAATAGACAATCCCAGAGAACAATCCTGTCCAACGAATCGAAGGCAGCCCTGATGTCAAGAAACACTACGATTGTTGGCCTTTGATAAGTATGACGGTGTTCTAACATTTGGCGGAGGGTGAAGATATGATCAATACATCCTCGACCAGAACGAAACCCAGCCTGCTCCTCGCGAGTCAATCTTTCTCGGGTTTTGAACAACCTACGAAGTATGACGGAAGCCAATAGCTTGGACGCAATCGGAAGTAGACTTATCCCCCGATAGTTGTTACAGGAACGACGTGAACCCTTTTTAAAGATAGGGACAACTATTGATTCGTTCCATGATGTTAGAATACTGTTTAACTCTCAAATCTTTGTAAACAACGAAGTCAGTTCCTTAACCAGAAAGTCGCCACTATCTTTAAGAAAAGTCGGAGGTAAGTCATCTGGGCCCGGCGATTCGTAGCGCTTTCAGAATTGGAGTTCCTTGCGGACTTCCGCTTCATTTGGTGGATCAGTCATCACCGGCCAAGGAGGGCAGGGCAGTCTGATCGATGTTGCTGGAGCAGCAGGCCAGTTGAACTGCCCATCGTCCGAGACGTCGATGGATGTTGGTGATTGGCATCCCATCATCCTCGCAGATTGTTTCGCTCACACCAGACTTCTTGCTGCCAGTGACGCGGATGAGTCGGAAGAGCTTCTGGTAATTACCAGATGCAGCTGCTGCTTCTCGGTCCTTACGCAAGCTTTGCCCAATTTCCTTACGTAACATCCTTCGTTTGTGGTCAAACTCACGGTCACCCGGAGTAAAACGACGGGCTTCAATGAGTTGTAAGGAACCTGAAGAAACCCAGTGCTTATAAGCGGGACATTTCGCACAGCCAAAAGCGGCTTTACTCGCTTTTTTCATAGCGTCATGCAGTTGCAACCAATTCTCATCTATACTTTTTGGTGGAGTGGTAGCTAGTCTTAAAGCTAGCTCAGTTCGATACTTATTAGCAACAGAAGTTGCAACCGATTTGCTGACATCAATCCTTTGGTGACGACCACTTCGCTGGCCACTGAAAAGTAAGGTAAGATTGGCGCAGACCAGGGCATGATCAGAGTCCAGATAGGTACTCCGAAAGGAGTGACAGTCTTGTACACAACCACGCCAGCGGTAGCTAATCGCGATGTGGTCAATCTGAGTCCAGGCTTGGGATGAAGAGGGAGGACGCCAGGTGGCACATCGGCGATGACTGTGCCGAAAGTTAGTGCTAGCCAGAAACAGGTTGTGGTCTGTGCAAAGTTGCAGTAGACGGTCCCCGTTATCTGACCTGCGACCAACGAGTCCCCATCGGCCACCTAAACGACTCTCTTCTGTGCCTAGACGCCCAACCTGAGCATTCAAGTCTCTGGCTAGTACTACAATATCTGTCGAACGCACTTTCTGGAGAAGAACAGATAACTGGTGGTAGAATTCACCTTTGATTGCATCCGGGCCGCAATCTGTCGGGGCATAGACAGAGATGACGAAGAGATATCGTTTCTGACGCCGATTTCTTTTCACTTTGATGGAACTTTCTAATCTAACAGCACATAACCGACTGTTAGTGGGGATCCAATCGATTAGTGGTGCCTCAGCTCCAGCGCTTAGTGCGACACCAACGCCAGCAAGACCAGACGAATTTGGTGTTGGCACTCAGCTTTCAACCAGTCAGTGACTCGAGATCGTCTAGATAGAACCGAGTTTCCATCATAGGCGAGCTGCTGTATAAGTTGAAAAATAAGGATGCACAAAGTGGAAATTAATAAGAGTGAATAAGTGACGTAGTAAACAATAATAATAATGTGAATTGTTTGACTGTTAATCGAAGTGAGAATAGTATTTTTAGCAAATATCATCATTCCATTCTATTTGTATTTGGGCTGTGATACTGCCCGGGTGCCCAAACCGAGGCAGGTGGTTTTCTTAGGGGGTCACACCCCGAGCCTTTGACCTAAAGGTCTGACCCACAAGGCAGTGGAGCATCGTGAGGAGATGCGGTCCCATGGTAGCCGGTGACCAACAATTGGTTCGTACGCCATTTGTTCCCTCTGGTTACTGGAGCCCGTGTGCACCATTGGTTTAGGTTCCGTTTAAAGCGCCAGACATTCGCTTTTCGTCCTCTCAATTTCGTAAACAACACTCCCTCCAGAAGAAAGAAGTGAGTAGGACTTCCCTGGCAGAAGGTGTGTACGCGTAGCCGTGTGAGAGCATTTCGAGAGGGAGGGCGAGCCCAACCCACTCTCAGCCGTACCAGGGCATTTAGGGGCTTTTGATTTTCTCATAACGAACTGTTTTCTAAAATTGGCCAGTATATTCAACGGGTGGTAGTACATAATGCTTGAATATGACTGCAGAGTGTCGAATTTTTTCTGGGAATACTAAAATAGATTTTGGGAAAAAAACTACTAAATACTGGCTACTTTTAAATGTTATATCTGTCTATCATTCACCTTTTATTCCTCAACTATAACTTTATAAACATAAAACCTTGTTATTTGTTTTTGAAGGGTCGGGTTGTTGAACCACTTTCGGATTTCCATAAGGATGAAGTTAGACAGATTGGTAGACAACTTGGACTTCCAGAGACTATTGTCAACCGACATCCTTTTCCTGGTCCAGGTTTAGCAGTTAGAATTTTATGTGCTGCAGAACCATATATTGAACGAGATTTTTCAGAGACAACAAGTCTTATAAAAATGATCTCTGGATATCATCAAATGTCGCAAAAGGTTTGTTTGTTGTGAGATCTTTACCAATCGTCTTTAAAACAATAACATTTATGCCAAGCTTTGTCGCTTATTCGGTAATCAACTTTAGCTCCTCAATGTTATACTTTGTGATTTAGTTCTTTTTTCACCGAGATCCAATCTTACTGAAATATTTCACATGGTTATCCTCAAATACGTTAGAGGTGTGTTTTGGTACTTACAAACCTAATATGGAGCATTAAAAAGTACGTAGGAGTATATATTGCCTCATTTTTCAGAGTAACAATCAGGACGCATCGGATAATAGGTATAGATTCAGTCGGAAAACAGTGCATACACTTACGAGTGGTTGCTTTCTTGAGTAAAACACTAGAGAAAGTAATTTTCAATGCTTCAGTCATTTCACACGTAGCCATCGTAGAAAGACAAAAAGGCACATAATGCTCATCACTTGTATATGAATATATAAGATAAAGCTCCACACCTGAAATTAACGCTCTCATTCAACCGTCAACAGATGTCGGTCAGTAATAACGTAGAACTTCGTACGTACGTACATCGGTTCGAGTTGCCATACCACATTAGCACAGAGATGCAGTCGTCGATTCAAATCCCGTCGTGGTAGAGGTAGTAAGAGTGCAAGCAGTGATCATAAAGATTAGGGTTTGAAGCTGTTATTTAAGGGAGTATAATATAGTGAAATCAATTTGGAAGGAGAAATAAAAGACATGAAGAATTCAGAAGATTAGAATTTGGGAGAACACAAAGAGTGGATGCACCTGCGTCAGTGCAAACGATTTTGAGCCATGTCATTCAGAATCTTTAACCATCGGTTGCTATCATCTCGCGGTCCCCAACCAGATATGGAACTCAAGAAGTCTATACCACCAGATACCCGACTTTCATAGTGTTAGATTCAACTTTATATCTGCAGTTTAAAAACTAAGACTGAAAAAACTATGATTTTTAATCGATTCTGGTTAACATTTAAATAAATATTGCCAACCTTTACATCATTAGTGATTTCAGTCACATTGATCACAGAAAGAACGCCAGAATTCGTTTAATAGTATTCCTATTACTGGCAAAATGTCTTCAGTTATTTTTGGAGTTATGCACATTGTTTATTGGTATCAATCTTTATAAGTACTTGCTTTCATGATTTACTGCATTTAATGTATATCATCATAATTTCAGCTGCTTATCATTTTGCTTTCCAACAGCCTCATGCACTTTTAAACAAGATCAATGCTGCTGCTAGACCTGAAGAACAACAACGTTTATCAAAAATTACAGCAAATCGGTCTCTAGCCGCCTATGTTCTACCTATTCGTTCAGTTGGAGTGCAAGTATGATTTCGCTAATCAAATAGAATATATGAATTACATGTTCTATCGTTAATCTGTTTGTTTTCAGAATGATTAAAATTCACACCCTTAAACTTCTGTAAACTGCGTAATAATTACTCTAATTTTAAGCTTTTTTTACGATCTTTTCATTTTAATTGTATTTTAGGGTGATCATCGTACTTATAGTTATGCTTGTGCTTTATCTAGTTCAACTGCTCCAGATTGGGATGCCCTTTCGTTTTTAGCTAATTTAATTCCGAGGATATGCCATAATATCAATCGGTAGGTTCATTATTGTTATTCGAAATCTTTGTGATTTGTTTTACTGATCAACTCTCCAGTTGGATTCTGTTATATCACTTCCACAGACTGTCCTAGCCAGTTTAGTTTTTCACGTCGATACTTAGTTCATAATATTATAAAAGTTATCCGGAAAATGTGTTTGAGTCAGTCAGTCAGTCAGCTACAACGTAGGACCAGGCACATATATGCATCGGTCCAAGTTGCCATACCTCATTAACACAACAAGATGGCCACCGGATTCATATAAGTGGTTAATTCAGAGGTGGTAATATATAAAAGAAAGATTGCAATAAGGATATAGTACAGGAAGAAAGAATTAGTTCATAGAAAGAAAGATATGAAGCAATTTTAATCTCTTAGTTTAAGAGAAAACAGAGAGCGTATACACCGACGCCATTGTGACCGATTCTGAGCCATGTCATCAAGAGTCTCCAACCATTGGTTACGATAGTCACGCGGACCCCAACTAAGTAGTCTGCATCTACCAACATGGCTCAGACTAGAAGTTAGTGACTTCAAGCACTGATGCCAGGTTTTGGTTTGGCCGCCCCTAACCTTCTCCCAACCATCTCCAACACCGGTTAGCATTGCACGTCCTGGTAATTGGTGTTCGGGCATACGTAACACGTGACCCAACCATCTCAGTCGATGAAGATTAACAAACTCATCAACTGATTTACCATCATTCCCTAATACCCTGCGTTTAACCTCACTATTACTTACCTGGTGATCTCAGCAGACGCCAGCAATATTTCTAAGGCATCTGTGGTCAAATACTAGTAGCTTACGAGTGTCTTCTACTCTTAATGGCCATGTTTCGCTGCCGTAAAGAAAAACAGAAGGAACTGCCGCACAGTAAACTCGTCCCGTAATTGATAGACGGATATCTCGCCTTCGCCAATGGTGATGTAAGTTGGCAAAAGCCAAGCGAGCTTTTCGAATCCGTGCTGAGATTTCGTCCGATATCAACCCATTAGGGCTGATCAGACTTCCAAGATAAGTGAAGTTGTCGACGCGTTGACAACTTCACTCCCTGTCCTTAGTTCTGGTGTTGACGCAGCCCAGTCCTGAAGCAACAACTTGCATTTAGAGGGAGAGAAGCGCATTCCAAACATTCTGGCATTGTTGCTCAGTGCTAACAAAAGACTGCATTTTGTCAGCGTATTCTAAGTCGATAAGTGAACCTCGTGGTAGGAGATCAATACCCGAGAATTCAGTCGACAAGAATGTTATTTCTATCAATAATAATTATCGAGGCTAGTATTTTAGATATTATACTTGTTAAACTAATCCCTCTGTGGTTGTTACAGGATGATTTTGACCCTTTCTTATATATTGGGACGATAAGTGATTGTGACCAGTCAGATGGAATAACGTCTGACTCCCAGATCTTAGCTAAAATATTAGTCAACCTAATCGCTAAAATTGGACCACCATCCTTAAAGACTTCTGGAGCCAATCCATCTGGACCAGCTGCCTTTCCTCGTTTCAGATTAACTATAGCCTTTTGAACTACAGCAAGAGTTGGGGGACCTACTTAAATGTTCCATTCACATTGTCTGGGAATGGAGGGTAGTTGTAGAGTAGCTGAAGGCCAGCTGAACTGTTCTCTGAAATGTTCCGCCCATCGTTCTAAACGTCTGGAATGGGAGCAGATGAGAGTATCGTCTTTTTCCGAAATAATCTCACTTACACTTGACTTAATAATTCCAGTTTCTTTTATTGGTCTGTAAAGTTGTCTTGTGTTCCCTATAGTCGCCGCCTTTTCCATCTCTTTTGCTTTCATTGCCCACCACTGCTCACGGTCGTTTCTTAGACTTTTTCTTAACTTAGATCTGATTTGTTTACGCTCTTCATCATGTTCAGAACCTGATGAGACGAGTTTGCGAGAATCCATCAGTGTGATAGACATTGAAGAAATCCACTGGTTCTTTATAACTCTGGTTTAAGTCACTAATAGATGTCACTGCTGTTTCCACAGCTGTTTGTATAGCTTTCCAAGCAACATCTGGGTCAGCCTCGTCTTCAGAACTACCTAAGTGTGACCTCAGTTGTTCCTGTAACCTACTTTTGGTTTTCTCGTTACTCAATTCAGTTCTAATGGGTCTTTTTAATGTGGCTTTTTTGCGTCCAGTGAGGCGCAAGCAGATGCGTGCCCGTATGAGGGCGTGGTCGGAGTCCAAGTAGGTACTCCAGAATAAGCGACAATCTCGTACCGACCCTCTCCAAGGATGACTGATGGCAATATGGTCTATTTGAGTCCATCGTTGATTTGGTGTAGGGGGTCTCCGTGTTAGGAGGAAGCCGAAAGCGGAAATTTAGAGTTGAAAGTCGATGTAGGAGGAATAATAGGAATTGAAGAGGGAGGTTGATTATGAATACAATGGTCTTGAGTGCTGTTAGAAGTATGAGGGCGGTTATCACTTCCCGATTGCCCACACCGTGGAAGGGTTGTTCTGGAGGTACCTGAAAAGGAAATTGGATCAGAGATGGTCTTAGTGACCTGAGAGCGTGACCGCAGTGCCCAAGGGACAACTGCTTGAGGTCGGTCACACACGACTTTTTTATGGGTGATTTTTGTGTTAGCTCCGTACTTGTTGAGACCTTACCGCTGGAGACGGATATCCGTGGGATAAGGCGAGGTGTGCATTTTTAGGGTCGACCTTTTCTAACCCCACCCCACCCCTCCTTGTGGGAAGGCAGCATCGCTGTCATGCTGGTTGTCTGAAGGAAACACTTTACTGCTGTCACACCTCTGTACAGTCAACAGTACGACTTCGCCTTCGGACCTTGGGTTTGTTGCTTTTAGTCTTACCGCTCTTCAAGTGACCTGTCTGACATGGTAGGACCTTGAGGAACGGTTGTTCCAGCCAGTATAGCTCGGTTGCTTCATCACGATAGGCAAGCACGACCACCACGTCAAGGTAGCAACAACGGTCGGTCGGTGTTTGAGTACTTTTTTTCTGTCAACCAAGGGCGTGAAGATAAGTGTACAGAGCGCATACGTTTGAAAAAATACTGGTTTATAAATCTGTCACTGATTAAAAACATATCAGGTTTGCATTTCTAGATACACTCTACTGAAGGATGTTCACTTAGTTTTTAAACCCTTGCTAATTAACTACAAGTACCTAAATTGTTCTATCAACCTTGTTCAATAGAGGAAAAACTAACGTACATACTGTTATATTTCCATGGTATGTTTTAGTTCGTATGTCGTTTTTGTTATATTGAAAATAACATAAGACTACGTGCATAAAAAGCGCTACTAGTCCATTGAATTCTAATTAAAGACGAAATGTTCATTCCACTCAATTATAGTTTTACGGACTGTTTATCAAATGTAAATAGATCTTAGAATTCACAATGAAGTTGATATTCTTATTTCCTATATTTATTTCAGCGTAGTATATATATTAGGACCACAAGTTGTTCATCCAGTAAATGATATTACAATTACTTACCTTCGAGAACCTGTTATCGATACTCTCCGAGAAGTCGATGACAGGGTTATGTCAGTACTTCATAACAATGGTTGTATGAACAGCGTTGATCAAATGCCAGTTGTTCTTATACCGATTCATTTTGACCGTGATCCAAGTCAAGTAGTATCTATTCCCTCTATTTTACGGTCAGTTGTACTCAGACCTGTGAAATCAGCTGATTTCATGACTTGTATTCCTGCTGTTCCCGGTGTTCATATTCCAGAAGATGTATGTAATTGTCTACAATATTATTTATTCTATATTTATGTGTTAATTTTATGAATGCATTGTTTTTCTATGTTTTATGATCGCGCACTTAATCATAGTTTATCAAGATAGATCCCACTCAATAACTAACTGGTTGGTCAAACTGATGCTAGATAGGCCCAGGTAAAAAATAAGAGAAAAGGTTGAAAACAAACAATAACAATCGTTTTCCAACCTCGGCATATTTTTATATCTAAGCTCCAAGTTTCGAACCATGGACCATTACGATTTTTAAGGTGAATCCAAAATACGTTGCTGAAGTGCAACATGCATTCATATGAAACATAAATTTCTAAAGTGTAGTGGAAAGCAGAATGCATCTATAATGTAGTGCATCTACTCAATAAATTCCAAACTATCTGATTATAAACTTACTTATCAAATGATTTTACGCGAAGATGAAAAAAGCTGTAACAAATTGAAGTTATAATTAGAAACACTGGAAATTCAAGATGATATCATGCATAAACGATATCATATTGTCACATCGCATACATTTTCGTACAGGGATCGTAGAGCTTTTTAAAGCTTTTAGATAAGTATGAATTCTGAGAACCTTTATGGACATTGGCAGTTGGGGGAAGATATAAAGAACGAAAGTATTACACGATACTTTTAACTATGCTTTATAAAAGTGTATTCAGCTGTTTGAGAGTATTTTACGTTATGGTAGTAGGATTGGATAAACCTCAAATGTTTTGATAAATCTCGATTGTACATGTATTTTCTGTTGTTTTCTGATTTATCCCACCATTATCATATTTATGACTGGGAAACTAATAGACATTAGCAAATCTATATAGGCTTACATGTTTTATTGAAAATTATACCACTGAAGAACGTTCATTTACTCAATAAATCATTTCATTCCATTATGTAACAACGTTTCACCCAATTTGTCTGGAAAAAGCCATGTATAAATTTTAATCTTTGTTAAGTGTCTACTATAAGTAGTATGAAATTATCCTGAAAACATTTATCTTCTTGAAGTGGCCAATTAGACTTCAACATAATGCAACTAGATGAATCAACCACTAGATCTTATCTTCTTTGATTTCTACTATATCCATAACGGTTATTGTGACTGAGGCGAGACTTCAAAGTGCTCATGATGAATAAATTATATTTGAAAAAATAACTATCCAATGGAAAATCGACCACATCAGTTAACAATTGAAATCGATTATACATATGGTTGTATCTAAATAAAACCATTTGTTGTGTTGGCCATTTCATCATTACGCTTTAAATGGTAGCTATTGTTTTGAAATATTATTAGTTTCCAGCTAATTTATCAACATACTCACTATTGTTGTACAGTAAGTATTACTAACTGTTAGACTTTTTATGAATACCAACAAGTCAATTTAATTGTCTACAACAAACTGTCTCTACTATTTGAGTGAGAAATATTTTTATATTGTTAGTATTTTGCATTTGTGAACGTTAATATTACCTCTAGCTAGAAATACTTAGTATTGTTTTATCTTTGTGTATAGGTTGTTTACAAAATGCAGAAAGCAGCTGAAGAAGTACCTGGAATATCTCGAGTTTTATACGATCTTACTTCGAAACCACCAGCAACCATTGAATGGGAGTAATTAGTAATATTATTCTCTTAGTTTATGTGTGTATGTTTCCGTTCTGTGTCTTTACAATTTCTTCAAGAGATTATCCTCTAATTTCTTTATATCTGCACAGTTAGCATCATAGTAACAAAGTGAATTTCTCGATCATGCGTTTATGACACTGTTGTTGTTATACAATACATTTTCGTTTGAGCTTATTTCAATTCTCTATCAATAATGAATATAAAAAATCTTACTGTATAACCTGTTTTTTTTGTTCTCAAAAGTCCTGCTTTGTTTCTATTCTTCACCCTCTATTCATTAAATGTATAAGATTTGCTGATTGATAAAATTGACTTGTTTTTTTTTAAAAAGATAGCGGTACCTTAGTTGTTCAGTTGAAAGCTCTTACATTTTGTCATATATCATATGCAGTGTTTTTGTACACATGTATGGATCAGTATCGTTAACACATTAATTACAATCAATATATAAATCAGTATTGCTTTATTCTGGATAATAAAGTAAATTTTATGTGGAAGCTTCCTGTTCAATGTTTATATTTTGAATTAAGTTGTAAGACCGTTATCTAAAGGCAAAATGTTTTCTTCAAATGAATCATATATTATGCTCATATTATAATGTAATAATCTTATACTTTATGTGATACTAACAGTTATCAAATTATCTTCTGCAGAAAAACCCCACATAGTTAAGATAGCCTGGCTGATGACATGTTTATAAATTGGTTATATTTAGTGACATCTCAACGATAACAAAGTCACATGAATGCGAAGATAGAAGACGAAACTTCTAGAAACGCTTTTACGTTTCAAGTAAAGAACAACTGAATGAGTAACATAGCATCACATATATAGTATGTTGCATACTGTCATAATCAATATGAATAGATGTAAACTGCATAAGATAACCGCGTCACTAAAGATTATTGTTGTGGGGACGGTAATAGATTCCAATAATATTGACTTAACTTAATCATAACACCTGAAGTACAAGAACTTAACAGTAATTGAGTTCATATGGTTTAATATTGAACACAAACAATGGTCATTTAAGAAAGAAAAAGTTGCCTGAAAATATTATTTATCATATATAAAAAAAAATCAACCCATCTGTGGGAACGACACTAAAAGAACAGAAGTTAACTAATAAAAAAAAACATGTTATCTTGTCGATTTATATGTTACCGCGTCTCAGCAACATAAGTTTCTCACGGTTTATCTTACAGGTTGCTTTCTTAATTAGTAAACTGAATTCAACTGTATAAATTTAGTAGGTTAAAAATAGGTAGCAATATGAATATAAAGTTTGTTAATTCTTAGTATATTTCAATTAGATGTCCATGGTCATTTGTCAGACAGCGAATGAACTAAATGTGTATCCGTTTATGGATGTGAGAAAAATGAAGTTTTCTGAGTTGAAAGTTTAGTACTCTTAAGAAACGTAGTTCGGAAGCATGTCTGATTTTTTTGTTTAAAAGAAGTTTACATAAATAACCGTAATTCTATAATAAAGGACTGAGAGTCTCGATTTGTAACATGTGCATGAATTTTACCAAACAAATAAATTTAATTTTGGTGTCTTGTACGGATCAGTAGTGATTCCAGAAAACCTTAGTGCGCAGGATTTTTGATAACAGAATATTTGATGTAAGTTATACTTGACACGTTTAGTTGTAGTGCGACCAGTTTACTAGGTTACTATAATTGACACTTTGTCAATGGATGGTGTTTTACCTAGTCAAGATCGAAGTTAAATATTGGACAATCATTTGCTACTCTTCCTTCAGATATGAGGTCAATAAATTGTTTCTACCCTATTAGTAAATCAATTTGATTGGTTATGTAACTGTTCAAAGTTTGACCAATTAAAAGCGTCTTTGTTCAGTGTGTGAAATTCGTTACATATTTTACAAACCTGAAATAAAGCTTAAAAATATTTATTTACTTGCCCCATTGCAGCTGCTATATTAGATATGAATATCCTATTGTGCTTAGTGTAAGTCTTTTTGCTGACAAGTAGAGATTGTATAATCTATGCAAGAGAACATTTCATGTGAGTAGTGCTTGGTCCAACTGAATACCTAGTCGGTTTTCTAAGTGCATCTTTTAGGAAATAATCTAGTATGATGGAATATTTGATATTTCTGTTTATTTGAAATACTATTTAGTTGTACGCTTAATATTCTCGGTGAAGATTGAATAATATTGTAGTGAAAGAAGATTTGCTGGGGTAAACCAATTTGCTGTATAATACAAGATTACAGAGTGACTCCATAAAAATATGAAAATCATACAATAAATGCATTGTTTGCATATTTTCCTTTAGTTGTCCTTAAGATGCTTCATGGTTCATTCCTGTTGTTATTGGAATTGGTCTCGATTACTTTTGCTGTTCACTTCGATTCAATATTCTGCTGTCAGGCATTCCACTTCCGATTAGCTGTACATACTGCAATTGCAAAGTAATGATTAGCTTTGTTACGTTTACTTATTTTCTGGAAGTTCTAATAAAATAACTGGGCGATGATCCACAAGTTTATGTTAAACATAACCGATTTGGAATTTGTATGAGTCTTAAATATCTGGTGATTAATTTCTGAGATCGATTGGACTAGCGAAACAAAATTTTACTACTCCAGTGTACATGAATAACTCTTCTATTGGAAGATAGTTCGGAAACGTCACCATTAATTTTACGTAGTAGTTGATTATTTTCAAGATTGATTTCGTTTCAGTAGAGGATAATCAAATTGTATGATACAGATCTTATGAACAAACCTAGACTAATAAAATTTATAACTGTGCAATACTCTCTTCAGTTACTCTATTCTAATGAGTAGCACGAGGGAGTTTGTCTTCTGCACAGTTAAATAAAGAAAATGAAAATTCTTAAATATTTATCTTTATAATAAAGAGTATTCTATCTTATTTTGTGTTGTGATAAACGGAACTTAGTTAACTGAATTATTACTTTCAAATATCATTGAGTAGCATATTTTTTAATTCAAGTTTCATAACAAGAAGTAGGATGGGCTACAGTGGTCTGTGGGTTATAATAGAATGTTCAAATATATGAATCCATAAGCTGATCATAACTTGGAAAAGCGAAACGTTTCTAAGTAGTTACAGATCGATTTGTTGGAAAAAAACTACCGTCGTTTATAATGAAACCTTGTTATAACGATAAACATGTAGGGATTGGGACAGAGTGAGTGGTAAAAGACAATTCAAGAATGAATTTCGAACAAGTCGTAATTAATGCATATCAATTTTAGTCCTACGCTAACAAAAGAACTACCCTTTCTTGGTATGTATTCTTGATACTCAAAATAATAACAGGAAGTTTATGTATGATTATTGAGAGTTTAATAGACTACATAGAGCCATGGGTAGAATAATTATTAAAACAATCGACATATAATTATTATTCCCCTTATTCAGATCCTTCAAAACCTACTTTAGTCTGGACAACTAGATAACACCGCTATTAGTCGAAGAAATAACATGGCTCAAGTTGGAGCGCTTAAAGTTGTACTTGGTAAATAACTTACGATATATTCAAGTGCATGTAATACACATAAGCTAACAGTATTGTGCTTTTTTCTATCTGTAGATAGTCTTCAGTAAAATAACTACTGAAAGATAAACGAACGAAAATACTGTCTGCTAAATTTCTCGATGTATGAGTATTTATGTGCTAGAAAATCACTGAATAGTTTAGTGGATTAATTTTACTTATGCAATTAATCTGTCAAACGATGTTTAGTTGTTTCATTTGAAATCAACTTCCAAATAATATTATATTAAGTATTTATACAATATATCATTCCAACTACCATTTCGGGGATATTCGGTTAATTTATACTGAATCTCTGAATTCGACAGCATGTAGTAAGAACTCAGACTGGTGATATGATTTTGTTTAGCACCCAAATAAATCAGAATGATAGATGAATACACCATTTTTTTTGGTATGATTCATTTACAATCATATAGTGTTTATAGACCAATCGATCGATAATGCAACGTGTGAACACAATTACATTATCATACATTTAAGTATCTATGACCAATATCTAAAATTAGTTGACCAAGTTATATGTTTACTCCTCAAGATGTGATCAGATGGTATTGATGATTAGAAAAAAAATCAGTTTCACATATCATTTGCACTCTAATCGATTCAGCTAATGTTTGCCATATCATTAGGGAAGTTAATGGCATCATTGAAATTATTAATAACATGTTATACATGTTTCATTAGTTCCACTATTTTATTGTACATGAAATGTGATTGATATAGATTTGATATACCAAATACTAAATAATCACGTTTAATTATGTATAATTATAAAATTAGTAATTAATGTTTTAGATAAACAGTGATTTAAACAGTCAAGGTTATGCAAATTTTGTTTATCACCCATTTATATTTATATAGTCTTTTGATCAACAGCAACTACCATTTTTTTCGTTTTAGAAATATTCGAGAAATGATAAGTCACAAATAATTACAAAGTTTCGTAACTGTCAATATATCATCTTTTAGTAGATTTTCAACACTTATAAATGTTGAAATATATGTTATTTGGATTGATATAATGTCAGACTACTCTTAGAAACCTGGAAGTACTGGACGGCTGTTTCGTCCTAGTATACGGCTCCCCAGCAATGCTCATCCACGATCCCGCCTCGCGATATTCGAACCCAGGGCCTATCAGTCTCGTACGCAAGCACTTAACCTCTAGACCACTAAGCCAGCATTCAACAGTATTAAAGTTTAACTTTCACTAATCCATGATATTGCACATCCGTCCACCATTGTCGTCATTGAGTAACTGTCTCACAACAGTCACGGTTGAACCCCATTTGTTACGGCTTCTCACTAGAACTCCAGAAAACCCATCTTGAAACTAGTCACTAGTCAGCATATGATTATTATCAGAACGGGTTTTATGGAGATGGAGCGGAATCGTGGATGCACACTACTGAAGAGTCCCATACTTGAACGAAACGACCGTCTAGTACTTCCAGGGTTTCCATGGTGGTCTAACTTCAATTGACTCATGAGTTTAGCTATAATACTACTAAAATCTCTAGAAAATCCCTCCTCAATGTAATTTATTCTCAAATATATATGTATATTTAAAAGTGATATTATAATTAATAAATTATTTTATGAATCATTTATTGAAACAGAGAATTATAACTCATATTGTATAATGATTAGTCTTTCTAAAGAATATTGATTATTTTCCGAATGATTTATTGATTATTAAAAATTGATAACAATCTTATTTCTTATCAATATTATATAACATGTACTTTTAGAAATACAAAAAAAACACAGAATAAAGTACAGAATTATACTGTGACTTTTAACATTTTCAATACATTTTTAATAGATTCAAAATATATCTATAGAGAATTAAAACATCGTCCAAATGTAGGTATCATTACCAAGGTATGATTTGATAATTTGGAATAAATTAAGCATTGAGTAGATTTTTATCAACAAATTAATTAATATGTTTGTAATATCCCAATGAGTAGAAAAATTAGATTTTCTGACATTTCGTCAAACCAGAAACAAGTCAACTTTTGAAAGAGCTAAAACGGTTAAACTCTAATTTATGAACGAGCCAATCAAAGGCGCTTT